ACTTAAGGCTATCCCTAACCCCTTCCCAACTTGAAAGTATAGAATCACTCACCTGTCACAACGCCAGTGCAGCTCTTTCCGCCCACAGGTCCTGTTCCCATGCTTCAATAAAACCACCTTTTTTGCATTGAAGACATCTCAAGAATTCCTTCTTGACCATTTGCTCCAAACCCCAACATTTCCAGGTCAATTTGAGGGGCAGTAGTCTAGGGTTCTCTTTCAGTGTAACATGCCCCCTCTTTATTCTTTGCTTATGCAACCAGTTTCTAGAAGTCTGCTGTTAAGAGATAAATATGCTGGGGCCCTTGGGTAGTACAATTAAGCACCTGACTCTTGGTTTTAGCTCAGCCCTTGATCTCTCATGAAACTGAGCCCTGCTCTAGGCTCCATGCTGAGCACGGAGCCTGCTTAAGATTCTCTCTCCCTCTCCTTCTGCCTCTCCTGCTCATGCTGGCTCTCACTCTCTCTCCCTCTCAAATAAATAAATCTTTTTTTAAAAAGAGATAAACATGCCACTTCACTATAAGTTTTTCTGTAACTATTGAGTGCTTTCTTTGGAGTATTTCATTGTGATTACTAAAGTTTGTTCTCCATTAAGAAGTAAGAAATTCAGATTATGGGTTTCTGTTTCAGAAAGTTAGGCTTGGCTGTAGTGATGTGGTTTGGAGTAGTGTTGGGGTCCAGAGCAGACTTCCAAGAAAAAATTCTTGAGATGTCTCTGGTGTAAGAAGCTGGTTTTATTAAAGCACAAGTACCGGATCCATGGGCAGAAAGAGTTGCACTTGGGTTGTGGGGAATGACTGATTATATACTTGGGAGTTGAGGGGGTAAGGAAAAAGGGAGGTTTCCAAAAGGACTTTCCTATGCTAAGGAAGACTCATGGGATACTGGAGGCCTGGCTACTGTCAAGCTAACCTTGTTTTTCCCCCTAGCAAAGCATTCACATTAAGACAGTTGGGAGTTTCCTGGAAGAATGTTATACTCTACCTGTCATTCATTTGTCAATGGGCTGCAGGTTATAAGTCAAAGGGCTGCATTCCCTTCTGCCTTTGATTCCCATAGCACCATGGAGGGGAAGGTGATGTTAGGGCTCCAGGAAATTAAGGGTGATGTTAGGGCTGCAGGAAATTTCTGGAAGTTAGGCTATTGATAGGATTGGTTTTTTTTTCTTGTAAACCAGTAGGACTTTTGTAAGCTGTTGGAGACTCAGGTCCTGTGTGACTGTGATCTCATTTGTTTTTCTCTTTCCTTAGTTCTAGGGCAGCCAGGACTGCCTGAGGAATGTCACATATTTACCACCTGGGGGGGGGGATGGCTTGTGGGGTGTCACCTTGTGCTTTCCCTCAGATTGCCTTCTACTCCCTCATCAATAGCAAAAATGTCAGAAATCCAAGCAGTTCAGAAGGTACAAAAGAGAAACCAAAAAATTAAGGTGGCTCTTTTCAGTTCCTGGACCCAATTCTGTGTGGGTGTTGTGGGGGCTTCTACCACACCAACAAACAATTCTCAAACACCATTAGGCTGCCTAAGAAATCAACTCAATTCTGACACTATCTACCTGGAGATAGTGTCAGATTCCTATTGGTTAGTGGTTCAAGACTACCCTCTACCCCACCCCCACTTCAGTTGCACCTCCCAAGCCCAGATTGTTTCCTGTACTTCTGACGAAGGGACTATAAATTCTGAGGTTCCCAAGATACCCTTCTTTTGGTTTAATTAATTTGTTAGAGTGTCTCACAGAACTCAGCAAACCCATTTACTCACAAGGTTACCATTTTATTATAAAAAGATATAATTCAGGAATAACCAGTTGAAAGAGATGCATATAGCAAGGTATAGGGAAGGGGTGTGGAGTTTACCTGTTCATTTTGAATGTGCCACTCCTCCCATATCTCATGTTCACCAACCCAGAAGTTTTCTGAACACTGTCCTTTTGGGGTTTTATAGAGGATTCATTACACAGGCATGACTGATTAAGTCATTTACTATTGGCAACTAAACTCAATCTCTAGCCCCTCTCCCCTTCTTTAAGGTGGTGGTGGATAGTGAGAAGTGGAAGTTCCAACCCTCTGGTCAAGTGGTTGAGTGTCCTGCCAAACACCCTTATCCTTAAGTTACGCATGTGCTTTCCAAAATGCAATGCATTGACATAACAAAAGACAACTACACTGCCCTTATCACTGGAAATTCAAGGGTTTTAGGAGCTCTAAGCCAAAAATGACAAACAAAGACCAAAAACAATTAACCCTTGAACAAGGGTTTGAACTTCCCCACTTATATATGGATTTTTTACAGTACCATAAATATATTTCTCTTCCTTTGATTTTCTTAGTAATGTTTTATTTCTGTAACTTATTTTATTGTAAGAATACAATATATGATACATATAACATGCAAAATATGTGTAATTCACTGTTTATTTAATGGGTAGGGCTTCCAGTCAACAGTAGGCTATTAGTAAAGTTTTGAGGGAGTCAAAGTTACATGTGGATTTTCTACTCGTGTGTGTGTGTGTGTGTGTGTGTGTGTGTGTGTGTGTGTGTGTGTTGGAGGGGTGTCAGCATCCCTAACCCCTATTGTTAAGCGTCAAATGTACATATGAGAAATATATTTTGGTCATCTGAATTTGTTATAAATCATGAAGGGGTTCAGGAAAAGTCTCCCCAAACTGTGCCACTTTGACCTGGGGACTATTTTGAGATCAAAACAATAGAGACCCAGGGGTTCAAGCCAAACTCGTGCCCCTCCCTTAAAGATCTATCAGAATCCAAAATGGAGGTCTTTTCTAACATTAAAGTTATTAACACTGATAAATTCCATCCTAATGACACATCTGTATGGCAGAGTAAACATCTAATTACCAAACATCTGCTTTTCTTAGTACCCTGTGAATTACCCTCCTCCTCTTTAAGCCCCCGCCATTCCTTATTTTAGGATGACATATATACCACATCACCTTTCTGTCTTTAAACCCTTCAGGTATGTGTGGTTCCTGAACATATAAAATTAAAGTTGATTTTCTCCTGTGTTAATTTGTCTCAAGATGATTTAATTACTAGACCAGCCAGAAGAATTTTTGAAAAGAGATGAAAATTTTTCTCCACAACAATCACAAATATCACAGAGGTACTAGATAAATAGAAAGTGTCTAGATTCTGAGAAACCTCCAGGACACAGCCAACTTCAGAATTTCTAGTTAAATTGTTTATCAATGAAAGAAAATGCAGAAGAAACAATTTTCTTATGGATGACCAAGTTAAGTGAAAATATGAAGCAAAACAATGCTAAATGAAGTCAAGTACATATGATAAATAAAATGATCTTGTCTATATGCCCTGACATCACACAGGAAAGAATAAAGGAACTTTCACTAAATTTGGCAGGTGGGTAGAATATATCAAATCCACTTGTTGAATCCTTACAGATCACTTCAAAGAATTAGACAGTTCAATTCAGAGAGCCCCAAACTGAGGTATATTCAGACACTCATGTTACTACTAAATGTATACGAAGGTGCTATGGTTGAAGAATGAACTGGCATTACCAAAATAGTCTATATCAAAGCTGAATTTATTAGGCTGTCAGTCAGGAAAGAGCTCACCATGCCAGAACAACATCAGAGGGTTTCTCTGCATGAACAGTGATGCATGCTCGAAGCACAGGCTCAGTTCTCTATAAAGTGTGAAAAAAAGGTTTGTAATTTTTTTCCCTCTATCTTCTATGGATATAGAAAAAAACAAACACACCAAATCTAAAACCTTGAACAAGAGAAGAGTCTTCAAAAAATGGCTGTAGATTGTAATTTAGTTCCTTATCTTATTGGATTACTACACAAAGTCTGTTCCACAGTTAATTTTTAACATAAGTTATGGTAGAGCTGATGTTAATAAATAAAAGTGATAAGTTTCCCTCTCTTAATCTAATTTAAAATTCACAGCAACTCTATGGTATCTGAGAGTTTTTTTCCCCCTCACTGGCTTTGATCAGGTCCTTATTCAAAATCAGCTGTCAGCCACACACAGAAGAATGAAACTGGACCATTTCCTTACACCATACAAAAATAGACTCAAAATGGATGAAAGACCTTAAATGTGAGACAGGAATACATCAAAATCCTTGAGGAGAACACAGCAACAACCTCTTTGACCTCAGCCGCAGCAACTTCTTCCTAGGCACATCACCAAAGGCAAGGGAAACAAGGGCAAAAGTGAACTATTGGGACTTCATCCAGATAAAAAGCTTTTGCACAGCAAAGGAAACGGTCAATAAAGCCAAAGGCAACAGACAGAATGGAAGAAGATATATGCAAATGACATATCAGATAAAGGGCTAATATCCAAAATCTATAAAGAACTTACCAAACTCAACACCTAGAGAACAAATAATCCAATGAAGAAACGGGCAGAAGACATGAACAGACATTTCTGCAAAGAAGACATCCAAATGGCCAAGAGACACATGAAAAAGTGCTCAATATCACTCAGTATCAGAGAAATACAAATCAAAACCACAATGAGATACTACCTCACACCAGTCAGAAAGGCTAAATTTAACTAGTCAGGAAACAATAGATGTTGGCAAGGATGCAGAGAAAGGGGAACCCTACTACACTGTTGGTGGGAATGCCAGTTGGTGCAACCACTCTGGAAAACAGTTTAGAAATAAGGCAGAAGATCATGGGGGAAAAAGGAAAAAATGAAACAGGACAAAACCAGAGAGGGAGACAGAACATAAGAGATTCTTAATCTCAGGAAATAAGCTGAGGATTGCTGGAGTAGAGGGGGGTGGGAGGGATGGGGTGGCTGGGTGATGGACATTGCGAAGGGTATGTGCTATGGTGAGTGTTGTGAATTGTATAAGACTGATGAATAAAAGGCCTGTGCCCCTGAAACAAATAATTCATTATATGTTAAATAAAATGGGGGAAAAAAAGAACACAGAGCAGCTAAAGGCCCTTAAGGAACTCAAGAAAACCATATTGCATAATCTCAAAAAAAATTAGCTGTCCAAAATGATTTGACTTTTATAGAATAAATTTAAGTTTTTAGGCACCAGGCTTCTTCACTGGGTTTCTTTTTTGTAGGCTTCTTGTCAGCTGCTGGTTTCTTCTAGCTGCAGCCTTTTCCCCCACCACAGGTTTCTTCTGCTTCTTCACACCAACAGCCATCTTTCCTTTCTTCCCTACTACAGGCTTCTTGCCTAGAACCCCCTTCTCATCTGATTTGGCCTCTATAGTTTCTGCTGCCTTATCCATCCAGAGTTTGTGATTCTTGGCCTGGCGAAGAATGGTATTCAGGCACAAGGTCTTTGATACAGGTTTAGCTTCGACATGATTCTCAGGTTCTTCAATGGATTCTTCTTCAGGACCCTGCGATGACTCTTCTTGCATGGTGCTCAGAGGGCTCTTTGGATCTCTGGACTTTTCCAAGATTCTGCTAAGGTCTATATCAAGCATTTTATGCATGGGAAGGTTGTAGTGACTCTTGAGGGAGGCAGCCTTATGCCAAGTGCCATACAGATCATCTAACTTGCAGAAGGCACTTTCAGTCCAAATGCAGAAATGTCCCACATGCCCACCAGGAGCAAGTTTCAAAACGTTCAGTTTGCTTACATTAAGTAAAGTAATTCCAGGGATATTTCTGAAGGCCTTGATGATACTGCTATCTTCACAGTAGATGATGCAGGATCCCCTGCACTGGATACGACAACAGTTTCTCATTATGCCGTTGCCAGCTCTCATTTGCTGAGAGGCATGGACCTTTTTGATATCATCCCATGCTTTAAGTTTCTTAAGAAGCAAAACAGCCTCTTTGGACTTCTTGTAGGCTTCAACTTTACCTTCAGTCACCAAAGAATATTCCGAACTTCCTCAATATGATGACCTTTAGACATGACCAGCACTAGTAAGGCTGAGGCAGCCAGGGCAGAGCAGATGGCATATCACCTCTATATTGTGTTCACTCTGCGAGGCCAACAGTGCCAGGTTTGGGTTGGTGCAAACATGTGCCCCCATGACACATATTTCCAAAAGTACCCTGGCCAGAACAGTGGATCCCACTGCCTTGAGCTCTGGGAATTCGAGCCACAGCTCTGCCCGTACCCTAAGACTCAGCAGTGATTTGATGACCTGCTAATTCACTGACAGCATATGGCTAAGTTGGTGTGAACAAAGTTCATGGTATCAGGTTGAATGGGAGCCTTGAACACAGCAGACAAAGTAATATTTTTGCCAGATGATTCCACTCTTTTCAGAGTACACAGATATCAATGAATGAGCAAACATTATCATGGGGAGAGGAGAGGGCCACACTCCTCTCAACCTAGAAGCTCCTATAGGAAAAGTGGCATCTGAGATATTGTATAATTTTACCAATGAAGAGACCAAGTCTTACAGAACTTAGGACATTCCCATCATCATCTCACTAAAAATTTCTTTGCTGCATCCCTGGAAATTGAGAGACTACAGGTTTGTGTGACAATAAAACTCTTCCTCTTTCCTCCACAGCATACTAATAAAGTAATTATTTTCCTCTCATGCTTTCTGTTAGAACTTAGAAGTGTTTCTCTTTCCTTAGTGAGAGACACTTGAGGTGAAAAAAAGACTTATCATTAAAAAATTGTTTATTTTATTCTCAAAGTAGCTTAAAGTGTTGTTTTTCCTTTCTTTACACAGATACTAGCTCCCATCTGAACATTTCACTACTGTTCTCGTGGCTACCCTCTGACAGGCTTGCCAGGCTATGAATACTTTTCCTCACCTAAGGATTGCAGAATTGCAATTGCTCATAAATTCAGAAAGAATTTTTTAGTAGTTTTTGGTAACACTTTCTTACTAACTTTTACCTTATCTTAATATGATATGCTTTGGGATAGCACAGAATTGCTTTTCCTGATTATTTACATTGTTTACTCTAACATTTGACTCAGGCAAGGGCTGATCATTTTTAAAGTGGTAAATATTATTTAGGAGACTTATAAAAAAAGAGAAATCATCCTCCATTACTATTTACTTTGAAGCTTGAGTATTTGAGCATACATATTTTGTTATTGTTTTTGCCAAGCATTATTCCAAGCTTTAAGTAGTTATAGCAAATATCCAGCCATTATTCTACATTGTCATGTCTCTTTCCTATAATGGGCTCTTCATAAATTTCCAAAGCAAGCATACTACAAGAACCCTGCAGAAATCCCTCCAGTTAACATTTCCTTAGCAAAATGCCCCTTCGGTATTCTACAGCTGTTTTTAAAATGTACATGTTGGATATGGGATGACAGTCAGTGAAGCCATAGCAGGAAATGAGAATGAGGTTTGGTAGGAAAAAGTTTATTATGCTTACAGGCTCCAGAAAGAGGGTCACCACATGCCACGCAGGGTCACAGGAAAAATCACCAGGGTGGTCATGAGCCAGAAGACAGAAGCAAGGAGGAAAGCTTAGGTCATAGTCTTCACTGGCTTTTCCAAAGGAAAAGAAGACCAAGCCAACAGTTTAGGATTGGCTAGTTTGAAGAATTTTGGCAGGTTTTAGTCTACAGGAGTGGTCTTTAGTCACCTCATACATACCTGACTCTGGGATAACTTAGGGCAGGAGAAGTTTTGGCTTGGTGTAGGAGAACTAAATAAGGAAGTACTTGAGGGGTACAAACTCAGGACTGGTTCATTTATATATGAAAAGCATGCTCAGAGGCAAGTTATTATTTTTGTTGGTAATTAGCTATCTTGCGAGGGACAATTTCTCTGTGGCCAGAAAAGTTTTTAAAAATGTCAAAACATTATAACATAGAGATACAAAAAATTGACATATATACATTTAAAGTAAAGTCAAGTTTCATAGAAAGTATAAACCTCTGAAAATGACATCTTCAGTCAATGTTTATATTGGGGAAAAATTATAAATTTACATCCCCAAAACTCAACACAGTATTAAAACAAAACAAAACATAAACAAATCTTGAATTACATTCCAAATAGAAGTATTATACTGTCAGAATCAGGAGAGGAGATTTTGAAAGAAGTTCTAATGAAGGGAATAAGCATTATGTATGTCTTGTACAAAGAATCTTTAATTATAAACTATTATTGGAGGTCAGAACATCATGTTACACTTGTTACATTCTAATATGATAATGTGTTACTTATAAGCATTTCTCTATATTTTAGTTATATTTCAGAAAATTTGTTGAGGTGTGGGCTTTTATGAATTGCATTATTTTTTCCACTTAAAAATAATGAGAAATAGGTTCTTGGTTAGTGTTTCCATGTAAGACATCTGATTTTCAGGAAGAGATCACTGGAATTCAGGAAGAGATCACTGGAAAATTCTAGGAAGAGATCACTGGAATTTTCAGGAAGAGATCACAGGAAGAGATCAGTGGAGATAACTGTATCTGTTGAAAACTAGTTTAGATTCCAAGAGTATCAATGCCCTGTGTTAAATTGCAACGTGGGACAGTTACTTTCACTCTCTTAATGACCACAAGTTCTAAGCTTATAAATGATACACTGCCATTGTTACTTAAATTTGAAGTTCTTGTCTAATTTCTTTTTCTCACTATCTCTAGCTGTCATCTGCAGTTTCTGTTTGCTTTATTATACATTCACCCTCAGTCTAGAAGAACTTCTGATATCCTTCTGAATTTGGTGTTTGAAGCTATGGACTGTTCTCATCTATGACAGATGTGTCTCATCTATGAAGGATGTATACTCAGATGTATATGATAAAACTAATCTATTATCCTAAACATAGTGATTGACCACAGATGGAGAGGTGACCCAAATAAGAGCAATAAGAACCTTAGAGAGAGACTTTTAGTTGAATCATTGGGTTGGAGAAGAACTGGTTACACGTTCCTTTTGACTGTTAAGGTAGTAAGCTATAAACCCAATCCTTTAAGATGCCATCTTGCCACCATATAGAAGAGTTTTCATTAAAACACAAAGAGCAGACTGAGTCCTAATGACATCATCTGAATCCATGGATCCAGGCATGTCTGAAGCCCAGATATCCTTTCAGATAAAGTTTAAAATGTTCCTTTGTTGTTTACCACACTTGGAATAAGACTGCTGGTTCTTTCAGAATGTCTTTTGGGCTAAGCCAAAATATTTTTCAATTCTTCCTTTCCCACTGGATACTTTTTACAGAATAAAGTATTTTTTTTTTTTTTTTTTAGATAAATGGCAGTGAGGACACCATAGCTTTTTTTATTTTTTTTATTTTTTTTTATTTGACAGACAGAGAGATCACAAGTAGGCAGAGAGGCAGGAAGAGAGAGAGAGAGGAGGAAGCAGGCTCCCCGCTGAGCAGAGAGCCCGATGCGGGGCTCGATCCCAGGATCCCAGGATCATGACCTGAGCCGAAGGCAGTGGCTTTAACCCACTGAGCCACCCAGGCACCCCCAGAATAAAGTATTTTTAAACATCAGACACTAAAGTATAATCATGGAGAATGCCATTTTATAGGATTTAATGAACACAAAAAAGGAAAAGAAAAAAAAACATATCATAAATTGCCCTCTCTTTGAACTCCTACTTGTGACGCTAGGGGAGACATGCTTTAAGGGTGTATAGTATAGGGATTAATAATATGGCTCTGAAGAAAGATACCTGGAATTTAAATGCCAACTCTACCAATTACTAGTTATGTAGCCTTAGGAAAGATACTCTCTGTCTCAGTTTTCTCATTTGTAAAATTGGGGCAGTATCTTGTGGGGTCACTGTAAGACTCAAATGAGATAGTAGTAATATACTTAAACCAGTGCCGGACATATCATGAGTATTCAATAAATGCCGGTATCAGGGTATTACTTTTTGTTATAATTATATACTATTAGTACTACTTATTCAGTTACTATATATACCACAATGATAATATACGGACAAAGAATGTCCCCTCCTAAATCTTTCATAACTGGAATCATCTCTCTTGCATATTTATCTCCCTTTCAAATATTTTGTCCCTCAGAGCAGGCAACTTCTGATGGGTCCATTAATCTAAAGACTTTGATATTTATTAGATATTACCATGTTCAAAGTTCTGCCTGAAAACTGGATATGGAACAGCAAATGAATAACAATTCAAATATAATTGCTCTTCTCATAGAATGCACATTCTAGACATAGCACAAAAAAATAAAATCAAGTCTCTATTTATAACTTGTAAAGTCTTATGCAGAAGAAACACAAAATTCGGTATGTGACAACATATTTTGGGGTATCTGCTCCAAGTCTGAGGAGTCAAAAAAGGCTTTCTTTACAAAGTGATTTTTTTCAGTTGAGTCCTTCACAAGAGTGAGAAGAGGAACACACTGATACAGGAAGCACCAGATTTGGGAAATAGAATGGTGGCATGCTGGAAGAGTGAGAAGCCTCAAGCCTCTTCTGTCTGAAACACAGACAACAAATGAAAGCATGGCAAAAGAAGAGACTGGTAGTGAAGGAAAAAGCAAAATCACGCAGGAAACTTAGAGCATATAAATGAGGTTTTGATTTTGTTATTTTTTAAAATATTAAAAGAAAGTAGAATCTGTTGAGTCATTTGTTTTTGAAATAAGTTAAATAAATGGTTGTTTTGAAATAAACAAACCTGGGCAGATTTTATCTAAAAGGGATAAAATATAGTCAAGAAATGCAAGTGGAGAAAACAGAATCAAATTGATTGCAATAGTTTTGGTAAAATAAAATTAAAGAGAAGTGAATGGCTATGAGGCATAGTTAGGAGGAGAAATAGAAGTGAATGGATTGATGATATATTTAGAAGTTAGAAG